GTGGGTGTGGAGTCTGGGTGTGGGTGTGGGTGGATCTGGATCTGTAGTGCGGATGGATGTGGGTCTGTAGTGCGGGTGGATGTGGAGCTGGAGTGTGGCGTGGGGGCGTGATGAGTGAAACACACACCCACACCCAAACCCTTGACAATTATCTTGAGAATATATTGAATTCGTACGAACCTTTTTTTTCAAGGTTTCGAATTCGTAGCAAAAATGGTTTCGTATGGCACTATTTTTTTCAATGTGCGATAATACAACAAAACCAATAAAAGTAATAATCGTATATTTCGACTCAGGAGGCCTCAAAAGGTGAACCCTCTTTGGGTGTTTTTAATAGTTCACTAAGATCTGTCATTTGAGCATATATTCGATCAAAAAGTGAGGGTGTGAGTGTGTGTGGTGTGGGTGTGGGAGTGGGTGTGGGTGAGTTGGGCGTGAGGTGTGGGTGTGGGTGTCGGTGGGTGTCGGTGGGTGTGGGGTGTGGGTGTGGGTTGGGTGGAGGTGTGGGTGGGGGTGGGGGCGGGTGTGGGGTGTGTGGATGTGAGTGTGGGTGTGGGTTGGGTATGGGTGTGGGTGGGGTGTTGGTGTGGGTGTGAATGTGGGTGTACTTCTTCTCTAAATCCACACCCACACCCCCCCACCCCCCCCTACATCCACACCCACACCCACACCCACACCCTCAAGTTTTCGTCAGTGGCATAGGATGACTCTCTTCAGTTCATTTTTCTTTTATCTCGCTTATGTATCGTTACTACGATGCACAGTTCTTAGGGCAAGCTGGGTAAATGACGTGAGTTTATTTTCTTTTAAATAATTTTACACATACTTTTCAGCTTATTTGGAAAGAAATAGACAAACATATCGTATTTTTCGTTTCTTTTTTTTTCATCTGTCTTACCTCATACTCGCATAAAGATTTGTTCGATAGGTAAGAGAATGAGATAAAATACACTCTGTTTTTTCATTCATCTAGTTATTCTTCAGACATCATACATCATTTTCTAAGAAAAACATCAATTAATTTACTCTTTCTTCATTCAGCTATCCTGATATTGATCCAGGAACACTGTCAACGGATTGAAAGGTGTGCTTGTGTACTCACTTTAGTCGAAAAACATTTGGAGGAGAGTATGGATAAAAAGAATTCGAGAAACAAGTGTATTGATCTCTGTTTTTGTTCCAAAAATCGAACAAACGAGTTCAATTTACTTTTCCTCCGTATATTATATCCATAATATGCTCGCATGTTCTGAGACAAACAGAGAAAGTTAATTTGGTTTTTATGTTTTGCTTCTTTGTTTAGTTATCCTAATGGTCCTTGTGTATTTTATAATTAACACCTTATTTCCAAGTCAATGTTAATTTATTTTCTCCGCTGAGTTACCTTTCCTATTCTGGTAGGTTTTATACGGGAATTGGAAACAGATGAAAAACTTCAGTTTTCTTTTCTTCGTTGCGTTATTTCAATAGTTGCCTAAAAATTAGTCGATAGTGGCAGCTGAGAATTAGCATTACCTGAGCTAATGCTATTTTTCATGCTTTTGTATTAGAATTAAGAAAACATTTTAATACTTTTTCATCAGTTTTAAGAAAGTATTTTAATCCTTTGGTATTAGTATTATATGAAAAATGCATTATTAAATACTGATGCGCACGAACAATTTATTAAATAATGCCAATTCTAGAGCAATACTAATAGGAAAATAGAAACTTATTTTTTCAGCACGAATACGAAAGCATTAAAGTATTTTCTTAATTTTAATGCAAAATTGTTAACGTTTTTCTAATAATTATGTTATGCACGTCTCTAAATTTTTCCGAAAGCAATGGAGTGCGTAAAGGCTTTTCATTTTTTCTCCTTGATTTCGCCATTCCATGTATTTCACACCACCTACTGAGAAAAACCTAGAAGTCTTGTTTACTTTTATTTTTTCTTTCTTCATTTAGTTTTCCTGGCACATCCAGCCCTTTTTATTCAAGAAATTTAATTAGAACGTTAGCTTTGTTCTTGTTTCTTTGATTTTCTTGACTTCTGTGATTGCGCGTCGGCATATTGGCAGTTGGGGTAGATCGATTCCGTTTAATTTTTCTTTTCAGTCACGTACTTATGCTCGAAATGATTCCTCACTGTATCGGAAGAACAATTACTTAGCTTCGTTTGAATTTTTTTGATTAATTACATTCATACTTTCTCCGCTTCTTCTCAGACAAACGGGAAAAGTGATTTAGTTTACTTTCTTTTTTACTTATTCTGACAGTTGTCAGAGATTTTATAGAAGCAATAGAATGAGAAACACGCTTTCCTTTTCATTTTGTTATTTAGTTGTCATCAGTATCAATAGTATTCATCACACTCAGAGAAAGCCCGAATAGGTTGGTTTGGTTTAATTTTCTCTTTTATCTTTTAGTTATCCATATATTGATCGCGAACTTTATAAAATATTAAATAACTGAGTCTATCGCTCTTTTCCTCTATTAACAATATTCGTATTTTTCTCACGTATTCTGAGTGAAATGGAGAAAGCTAGTTCAGCTTCCATTTTCTGTTCGTTTCTTCAAGTATTTTGATAGATCTCGCAGTTTCTACAACGAAAATGAAAGTAGAAAAGTAAATTCAGTTTGATATTTTCATGTAGTCTTCGAATTAGTTTGGGAGTGTTTTTAGAGCATCAGAATAAAAACAGTGACTTAAATTTTCTTTTTCTCATTAACTATTCTATATTTGTTGAGCATATAAGCTGAACGAAGTTATGAAAATTTTCATGCAGGAAAACACAGCAACAGAACGCTCTTTACTTTTATTTTCGTCTTCGTTTTACTGAATATGTATAGCGAAATGACGAAACTCATAACTTTAAAGAATGATAAATTGAGGCCATACGACGTCATCCATATAATGGCGAGTTATCGAAATTGTATGCAAAATTTAGGGAGATTCATATACTATATATTTGTTTATATTCCTTTTGTTTGAAAGACTCTACATAAATACAGAATTAATAAAACATATTTTCTTTTGAGAAGGTCATTCGGAAAGAAACACTAATATTTTTTTCAGACAGTGAAGCAAGCGCGGACTTGTGTAATTCACTTCAATGTGATAATTTAAGACGCCTATTATAGATGGACCTATAAGAAATAAAACTATAAACAACATCGAATCAAATTCGAGCAAGTTCATATTCTTTTCACTTGAATCGTTCAACACTTAAGCATACAGTTTTTTAGGCTGACTTTCAGAACGTTCTATTTTGTGTCCTCCACCGTGAAAAATATTTCTCAATGAACAGTAGATTGAAATTTAAGTGAAATTCAGACAATATGTAGCTTCAATCGTTATTAATCTATATCGCATGTCATAAATATCAATTATGAGAAGTTCTGCATGAAAGTTGTACTGATTCAGTGATTTTCCTAACAGAAAGTAACTTCGAATGATTGGAATGATCTTATTTAACATATAGCGACAGGCAACTATTTCTTTTTACTTTCGCTGTTGGACATTAATTGCTATTCTTTTTCTTTATTTTCTTCATTATATGTCTTTGATGCAGTAATTGCAACTTGCTAATTGATAAAGCTATAGTCAATACTAGTCTATACGATTTGTACTCAAATCTATGGATCTTGCATGGATAGATCTTCAGAAAATATTAATCGAAAGTCGAGCATGTTTTCTTTATTGAGAAGATTCTATCTTGAAGATATGAGTGTGAGTGTGGGCGTGGATTCTCTTGTTCTTTGTCATTTCATCAACGTGCAGTTCCACACACTCACACTCACACTCATACCCTGTAGTAACATCTACAATGCCGTTCTTTTTTCTGTTCTTTTCTCAGTGGCAAAAAAAGCTTTTAGTTTATAGAATGTCGAACATATCGATCCGACTTTTTTTTTTCCTTTTTTTTTGTTCTGTTAGACTATAACTTGTGATAGTAACAACCACGAGATTAATTTTTACTTCTTTTTACTGTGTTTTTTCTTTCAGGAAGAAACATTAGTTTCTATCATAGTCACCTGACTGAATGACAAGGAGACAAATGTTTCTGAGTGAACAAACAATGATATCATTTCACTATTAATTAAATAATCTACGTAAAATCTCAAACAATATGTGTTTTGGATCTATTGAATGAATTAGAACGTTGAAAGAAGTAGTGGTTGGTATGAATGATCACTAATAATTGTCGTCAGAACGATAGCAACAACTATTAGATTAAAATAATTCGAAATGTCTTCAATTGTTATTCTTAGTAAAAATTTCAATTTCATCGAAGAATTTCAAAGTAACTTTGGAAGCTTTATTGATTACATAAAAGCATTTCATACTCACAGTGAAGCTGAGGAGTATATAAGAAAATGGGAAGATTATTTGATTATATTCATTGTTTCTCTTGAATTTGACGAGACAGTCATTAAACATATACATGATTTACGACAATTACATCAAATTTATGTTTATAATCCAGCAAATGTAATTGACCTATGGACAAAAAGTTATAAAAAAGTAAGTAGAATTATACATCCTATTCGATTTCATGTTAATATTTGTTGCAAAACTATGTAGAATTCTAATTCAGTTTTTTTTTTGCATAAAAAATTTTAAAAAACTTAAAAGCAATATATTGCAGAGATATATCAATAAAATGATAACTGTCTTAAATAGAGTTGTCTATGGAACTTTTTAGATTCAATTAGTCGCCACTAACTTAAATAAATTATTCCAAGCTGTGCAGACTAAATTACTCGCATTAATTAACAACGAAGAAACATTTTTAAAGTTTCATAATTTGATACCTTCCATATGGTATTTCAAATTTATTCAGTTATTAATCAAAACAGGCAAAGAAAATGATGATCGAGAACCTCTTATTCAATATTTCAGATCTCATGCCGAATATACTGAATCAGAACAAATAAAAAATGCTATAAAATTTGTGCGTGCATGGTCGCCAGGTACATCGATAACTTGGTATACACAAGATAGTTTTGTTTACCGCATGCTAAATAAAGCATTTCGTTCGCGTGATTTTGAATTTTTAATTCTATTTCGTTTCTTTATTTCTGATCTACATCAACAACTTTCTGATACGAATATAAATAAAATGATTTCAACAGAAACTATTTATTATCGTGGTCAATTAATGCATAAGAGCGAACTTGAATCTTTAGAAGAAAAGCAATTAATTTGTAGTCTCGGCTTTTTCTCAGCAACTCGTGAAAGAGAATTAGCATTAAACGTTTATGCTGGTGCTAAAAGTTATTCATTAATTAATGAACTCCAATCAGTTTTATTCAAAATCAAACTATCAGCTTCAAAATATAAACAATTAATATTTTCTGATATATCACCTGTAAGTCATTTCGGAAGTGCAGAACAAGAAATTTTATTTACACTTGGTTCTTATTTTGAAATATCTCACATTCAATTTGATAATAATCTTTCCACTTGGATTATAGAATTAACTGAAGGTTATGTTCAGGAAACAATGAATAAATCTAAAAAACCTTTCGATGTTGAAATCATTTCAATTGGTTTTTATTTATTTGTTTTGAATGATAATTTTCGATTAGCAGAACGATTTTATGAAAATTTATTATACATCTCAAATTCATTACCATGGATTATTGCTCGTCACGTTGGATTTGGTTTAATTGAATATTTTAAAGAAAAATATCAATCCGCATTAGATAAATTTAAAGAAGCTTTAGAAATAATTGATAAAGAGAATGTCTATGCTACATGTAAAATGATTGGAAATATTTATTGCCTTATTGGAAATGTTTATAGAGAAATGAAATATTATAATGAAGCATTGAATTCATATGATATGGCTATTAAAAACTATCCAGTTAAATTTTATTTTATTCAAGAAAAAGATCAATATTGGACAATGCATAGTTATACGAAAAAATTAAATTCATTTGTAAAAAATGACAAATATTTCTATTATTGTGATCGACCTTCGTTAAATAAAGTAATCACTTATAAAATTACCGAACAATGGGATTTAGCAGTAGATATTTTTAAAAATTTGTTAAGTGATACCAGAGAACGTTCAAAAACTGGTGTTATTGCGATGTTTGTAAAAGTATTAGGATTTTCTAAAGAAAATGACAATATATCGAAAATAAATGTTACTAATCATAAATTTCTTGGTGATAAAACTTATTCTAATTTCTTGGACAAGAATTTTAAATCTTGGATTTTATATGCTTATATTGAATTAGGTAATCATTATATTGATCATAATTATCTTGATTATGCATTTATATGTTATCGAGAAGTTATTCAATGTGAAATAGAAATTGAATCTTTTATGAATGTTGAATGTTTTTATGGTATTGGAAGAATTTATGAATTAAAAGAAGATTATATTAACACAATTGATTGGTTTAAAAAGGCTATTGATTACACTGTTACAAATATAGTTGATACTAGGTATTTAACAAATATTTTTCGATATATAATTTATGAAAAATTTTTATTTATATCAAATGAAAAATTAAATGATAAATTTTCATCAATTCATTATATGAAACAAATAATTAATAATTTAATTCAAAATACAAATTATTTGGATAAAATTTATGATTTAGTTGCTAAAATATATAAAATAACAATGCTATATTATAATAGTGATGATAATGGAAATATAATTGAATTAATATGTAATCATATAATTGAAGTTTTGGATAAGATTAATTCAAATATTCAATATTGGAAAAAATGGATATGTATTGGCTCGAATTGTACTGTGAAAATATTTGATACTCAGTATTTTCATTGTGAACCTATAGTAGATAATAATTGTAGTGCATACTTAAAATTATATGAAAAATTACTTGATATTATCTCCCAAAAAGAATTAATTCAATACGATTATGAAAGAGATCGATGTAATTATTTTATTAATTGTTTAAAAGTTAAGTATTTTGATCAACAGCTTGCACTACTTCAAAATGACTCAGAGAAAAATTAACTATTACCAGATTTTTCAAAATAGTTGCAACATACTTTATTTTCCATATATATATATATATATCATCATATGCACAAATGATAAATACTTGAAATTTTTTCTAAAACATATCCGTCCAATTCGTTACAACAACTGTATCAAAAAAACCCTTCTTCTGATTTGTTTTGATGGACCTTTGTGTTTTGAACATA